ATATATATATATATATATATATATATATATATATATAAATGCATTTAGTGACTTGTTGAGTGACTGCAATTCACCAGGTACTATGGTAGGCCTTTGGGGATTGAATATTAACTATGATAGATACTGTTGCTGCTCTTCTGGATTTATAGCATAGGCAGTACAGAGTAATCACTAAAAGCTTTAGTTTTGAAAGGAGGCAACGTTGGGTTTGAATTCCACGTTTGATATTGGGTAGCTGAGTAACTGCACAAGTTGCTTACCTACTCTCAGCTTCATTTGGAAAATGAGAATGATGAAAATAATACTCATAGAGTGGTTATAAGGATTAAGCAAGATAATGTATGTACAGTCCTTGGCATAGTGCTTGATTCAGAGTAAGTGAATCCCTGCATAAATGGCTAGAGAACAGGTCTTTGCAGTACCAGATGTTGTCCCTCTAAAGGAGAAGAAAGCACTGTGGAAACAAATTGTCTATTGAATTAATATCATCATAGGGTCAAAACTCAGGCCCTAAAAACACTTGAGAACATCTGTCTTTTATGAAATAGACTTTTACATCTTATATGTTTTTGAATGGTGAATTTTCATTTGAATTCCAGGTGATTTACATGGGAAACTGGATGACCTTTTTTTGATCTTCTATAAGGTAAGTGATTATTTTGCTAAATATATGCAGGATTGTTGGGTGATAGCATTCCGAGGGCAGATAACAATATTAGTTGTGTTAGAGATATGTACAAATACAAATGTGTAATATCCATTTTTATCCAAGAATCTCAAAGATTTATAGAGGCATGTCTTTTGATTTTTTTTAATTAAAAAAACTCATAAAATTTGTTTAAAAATTTATTTAGGGTTTTTGTTCAACCTTATTACTGCCTGTGCATCCACTAGGATTTGTACTTGATTGTATTTATTGTCTTTATTATGTCAAAAATGTCTAGATAGTGCAGGATGAAGAAGAAAGCAGTCCGCTTTATTTTTATTTTGTTCAGAAATGAGCATGTCACATACCAGTTTTCTCTTCCAATGCAAACTAATTATGCATGAAAGGACTTTCCTCTAGTAAGTTCCAGTTGCTCTCTTCTCTACCTTGATTTACCATCTTGGGCTCAGTTGCTCTTGCAATGCTATGATTCTCTTCATTTATTGCCTTTGGTTTTGAGAGCTGGCCCAGAGAGCACAAAGCAGCTTGGCTAGCTTGTAGTTTCTCTGCATCTGTTTGATTGGATTTATTTTTTTCTTTGAGCCAAGAGTTGCAACTTATATGTTTGCTTCTGCAATGACTGGTAGCATATAGAAAACTGATCTCAAGGTCCCTGCCTTCACAATGGTACCTTTTAATACTGGTCTTCTGATTACTATGTTTATTGTCTATTTATCCCACAACTAGCACATCAAATAATTGGGCATAACATAGGTATCTCAGATGGATTGAGAGAAAATATATTCTGATAATTATGATGACCAATCATTTCACTCTTCGAGACTGTGAGAGCTTGAGTGAGCCACACAACTTCCATGAACCTCAGTTTGTTTTTTAGCTGCATTATTATCTTAAGCTTCCATGACATAAATTCTCATGAATAAAGTAACACAAATATTCAAAAGCATTTTTAAAGCAATTCATTATAATAGAAATGCAAGTTTTTTATTTCATTTATTCAGAATGGAAGCTTGGAAGAGAATGGGCTAGGCTAGAGCAAAAGTAGGTGAATGGACTGGCACTTAGGAGGAAATTCAGTTGAGACTACAGGCAGGCTAAGCAAGACACACAGCATTATAGCCAGGGAGTGGGGTTAGAGGAAGTAGTCGGAGGCTCTCCAGATAGTTGGTTTATGAATCTCAGGCAACAATTTCTGGTAGGGAACAGAAGGTACCAGTAAAAGAATAATTCTGTATGTCAGCCACAAAACTCAAGCTGGGTAGGGAAGGAAGAGAGTCCAGGATGGACCAGTTGATTGGGATACATGGGAGAACTGAAGGTTTGGAATGCTTCCAGGATCAGGAAGTCCTCTGACTGAGAGGCCGGAGGGCTGGCATGGCCTTAGGAAGCAGGAAGGGTGGGAAGTTGTAGGGGAAGTAGTCTCAGGTTATGAGAGGGTCTCAGGTGGAGTCTAGAAGGTGAGCAACTAAAGTGAGCATAAGAGAATGTTGGCAATGAAGAGGACAAGCAACTGGAAATTAGGTGTGTTAAATGGGTTGGCCACATGGACTGAGAGATGAGGAACTGGGGAGGAAGTCTAGTTAGAGGTCCTGGGCCTGAAAGGAGCATGGTAAAGCATTGGTCTGTTAATGGCTTTGGGGAGCAAGCAGATCCTCCCCTACTCTTGATCCTGAGGTGTTTTTTTCTGGGGAGGAATGGATCCTTTCCTTTCAGAGAGTTGCAGGAGTCAGGAGTCTAGCAGTATCCTTAAGGGAGACCCAGATTTACAGAGAATTTTTTTCTGAATGACTTGAAGGTGAAAGGGAATTTACATACTGTGAAATGGGGATTCTACTGGCTAATTGGAAAGCTTTGGGAGAGGTAGAAGGATGGACTGGTGAGAAGAAGCCAGGAGTTGTACAGTTTGGGGAATGGGATCAGTTTAACTCAGTACATAGCTCCATACTAGACAATTACAATCTGAGAAAGGTGGGGAGAGGGATGGGGGATATGGAGAACAATAACAAGAAAAATCTGGTAATTCTTTTTCTAGAGGCTTTGGGAAATAATATAAAAAGGAAAATAGTTGAGTAAATTAAATTAACAGAATAGTCACCAAATTCCCAGGCATTTAGAAAATTTCTCAAGAGTTAGTATTATTAAGGTGTGACCCGGAATAGAGCCCTGGAGTACACATGAAAAAAAGAGAGTATTCTGATATAGTTTTTTAGTTGCACTGACAAAACTATATGGAGCTTATAAAACTGGAAGGTGCTAATGTAAAGATTGAACAGGAGGAGGTGGGTGGTAAGAAGTGCTATAAAAGGAACTAAAGGTGAAAATATAGTATTCAAATGGAAGCAAGAAATATTTCGAGAGCTAACCAATGACAGTATTCAGGAAGTAGAGATTGTGAGCCTGGCAATGACAGAGTAGGTGACTACTGTATTATATTTGGGATGGGCTAGGGTAGAGGGAGGTGAGAAAGATGTTTGGAAAACAGAAGTATGCCAGAGCCATGCATTAGAATTTTGGCAGACTCTATTGAGAAGAAGGTAAAATGCGTCTTGAATGTAGAATGAACCACACATGCCAGTTGTCTGATTTAACAGGGGAGACTGAGGGAAGAGCCATTGATGACACTCAGATTTCACTTTAAGAAACCGAAAAGAGATCTAAATGTACAACATGAGGACTATAGGTAATAAAATTTTACTGTGTATGGGATTCATGCTAAATGGGTTGATTTTAACTATTTTTTTGCTGCAAAAACAAAAGAAGGGTAACATATGAGATGATGGATATGCTAATTTGCTGCACTGTAGTTACCTTTTTACTATCTAGTTATATCCTATAACACCATATTATATACCTGAAATATGTACAACATTTATTTTTAAAAAGGAAGAAAATAGCAACTATGATAAAACATTGGGGCAAAAAAGCTGGATCACTAATATAACTTATTAGTATTTTAAACAGTGTGACAACAAAAAATGCTACAACCATATTATTTTAAAGGAATTTGTGATAACTGAATACAAGACATTACTTTCTCTTATGAGGAAAAAAGGGAGCTTAAGAGATGGTGCAGTTAATGCTGCCTAAGAAGGAAGAATGACAGGCTGAGCTTGTGATGCTGCTGCTGAATCACTTAGTTTATGGCAAATGAGTGTCTTGTTAAGATGAAGGTAGTAAAATGAAAGGGCAGGACACAGGGATCGGTCTGAGGAAGCTTCAGTAATTGGATGATCTCTAACTTGCCAAAGTCAGTGCTTTGCTCTTTTCTGTCTCATTTTTTGTCTACACTTTAAATGCATTTTGATAATAAATTGTATAAGTATAGTGCTTCCTAAAATATGAATACAAACTGTTTAGGAAATAATATGTCTATATGAATACATATGACAGTGACATCCCACCTATCCAGATGTTGAACTTCAGTATTTTATCAGTATTCTTATTCAGTATTCTTATCTTCACTTATCATTCATATGGTCCCAAACCCAGGTTTAAATAAATAGGGTCTCTTGAAACATTTGCCACAAATCTGATGAGCTTTATTCACAAGATAGACCCTAGACCCTTACCCAAAGACTAGTGACCATGTATCAGAAAATCTTTTGTCACACAAGGTTCACCCCATAGAAGATTAGAGAGTAGGAGGGGAAGAAGCAAAAGTCAGATGCACTGCTAGCAATGAAAAGTAAAAGCTCTTCCTGACAATAAGAAGAAATATGGAACTATATAAAAATGAGATTGGAAATGAAGTAGCAATATTCAGTGAACTGGAGCTGTGTGGTATAGGGAAAACAGAGTTCTAGACTTCTCAAAAGTGCCTTAGGGGATGCTTAGGTTGATGAGCCTGCATAATCAAGACTATTTTACAGTATATGGTGTATACCCTGTTAAGAAATAAAGGGAGAAAATAGCACATTTTAAAAACTCCCAGCAAAATGGTTAAAGTAATTTTAAAAGATTTTTAGCTTTTAAAAGAATAAGCTTCAGTGATCTGGAAAATTCATTTAAGCAATGCTTACAGTATGAATGAGTATCATTATTGGGTCTTAGGAATAGGAAAATGAGATAACATGAAAAAATGGAAAGATGAATTGAGAGAAGAATAATGGGCCAAGGAAGTAGATGAGGAGGAAAGAATGAAGAACCTTCCCAATGAGAGAGGTGGAAAGTACTGAATTTCTCTTTGTGGCATCAGCTACAAAGGTTGCTGGTTCAAGGATTATAGCAGGTACATAACTTAGCAATCACTTCAGAAAATGGTAGAATTTCTGTGATGGTCTCTGATTCTCACTGCAATAAAGCATCAACAACTTACTGAATCCCAATCACATGTAGTGCTTGGCTCTGGTTCACTAATATGAGCCACCAGATTGAGTCACGTCAGTGTAAAATCACAGGCTCCCAAGCTTCTGTTTAGAACTAGCTAGTGGTCATATATTCTTATCTTTATTATTTTTTGTTAAGGGAAACAGAACTTGAATTGTGAGGAATAGTTTGGGAAATGACATCCTTTTGGGGATTTATGGAGCTATAAATATCCAAAGTTTACATTATATGACTAGTTGACTCCTCTCCATCAACCCAAAAGAGAAACCTAGAAAACCTCAGGCTTTGAATTAAGGCAGTATTCTTATTAATCTTTCAGTTTTGTTTTACTGAATACTTTATTCCTCATCAGTTCTTTTATCCAGTATGGTGTGAGTAGGATTATAGGGCTGGGACTTGCTGCAGGCTAAGCAAGAACATAGCCTTAGAGGAAGTTATAATGTAAGGTTGCTGACATCCCTCAATAGATTATTCTTTTCATCCAAGTGGTTGGTTTGACTTAATATTTCTATCATTGTAATTGATCATATGCAGAAATGATCTGTCCACTGATTTATTCATTCACTAAACTTTTATTTGGTCTTTATAGTGTTCAAGGGATCATGTAAAAACTATAGGAACATACAAAGATGAATACAAAGTTTATTCATTTC